AAATAAATACAGATAAATATACATCTTTTATACAGAAACAGCAAATAACATGATATAAAATGCGTTATAAAATTACAACAATCTTTGTTTCGCAGGATCAATCATCAATGTAATCTTAAAAAAGAAAAATAAATGCTTTCAAGTGTTTCCTTTACAATTGTTCCGCCCAAGGCGAAAAATGTGTTATCATATAAATGTCATAGTATGATTGGAGTGCAGAAACAATTCAATAGATATTAATTCCATATATCGACGTGTTGACATCACGGTACATTTAACATTACATGTATAACATTTTTTCGCTATATGTAACATTATATATATGATGATAAACTGTAGACATTACATTTGTGAGTTAAAGCGGAAACGAAAACGGAAATGAAACTTCCAATAGTGGTTGGTCGTTATAGGGTAAAAGGCAATAAAGATAGTGCAACCGCAAATTCGTCGGGCCATGTGTCTAAATTTGATTATTTTCTCAACCCAATTAACAGCCATTATTTGAACCGTGATACTCTCCAAGCGGAAAACGGTTAAAACGAATCTCGTTATAGGTCTCGTTAAAATGTTTACGACACTAGCCGAGATTTTGCTGTTAATACGTGAAAGTATTCTTCGTTTCCGCAAAGAAACGCGCGACAAATATTCTATAACTGTCGGAAAAAACCACTCTATCTGTGAAAAAACTAACATTGCAGAAATTACATAATATGCATTAATCGTATGTATTACTTAATAATGTCTTATATTTATTGTAATTATTTTAATTCATTTAAGTATAAGAGATAGGTATATCTTACATTTTCTAATTACAAACTATTGTGTGCAAAATGATTAAACAAATTTTTTTTAATTTTTTATCATTTCAAACTTGGAGAAATAATCATAATTTATGCAATTTGAAATGTGATTAGATGTCAAAGATTTTCTACGTAATGACACCTCCAAAACGGATGTACTAAATATTCTCTCCCACGCGTTTTCTAACATTTTCTTTGAAATTAGTGTATAAATTGATAATAGTATAAGATATGCATATACATATTTTAGAAAATAATTACAATGCAATAAATCAATGAAAAGAAAGTTACATATAACATATATATTTATATCAATTATTTTATTCTTAAACGCGAAGTTATTGCGAGAAGATAACTCGACGAGAACCGAAGATTATAGAATGATAGATACAGGAGTTTAATCAAACGCGCAAAAACATAGAGAATGCTGATCCTCTAATCGAACCGCCTACACAAACAAATCTATACAAACATTTTTCTACGTTTTAAATAAAAAATCAGACAGCAGACCATTTATTGTGCAACATCAAAACTTGCATAGATTTTTCGTTTTTTTCAGTACCTATTTTTTTCAAAAATCTCATATCTGTAAATAATGAACGTAACATTTTTTTTTTAATCATTGCAAGCATGCTTAATCATTCATTTAGTACAAATGTCACGATGCGCAATTTTACTCAAGTCACGTTCTTTTTCCGATAACTGATGGTTTTCCAATGACTCGATTTCAATCACGGATGACAGACAGAGAATGTAATTTCCTTCGAACTGATATTTACGAATAAGTAAATAACTTAACAAGAAGGATATCGTGTATTCAATACACGACTAAAAGGCGACTGTCTTGCTGAAGTGTCTGAAAATTTAAGTAACTATTACAGTCACAGATCTGAAAATAATTTTATTACATTATCAAAATAATTACTTGGAATACTCAAACTGGTTGTTATGACATCAAAACCTTTTATAATATTGCTCATCATATTTAAAATTATTCTACGTAATTATATTTTGATCCAACAAAATTATTTTCAGATTTGATATCTAGTTAAATTTTAGATACTTTAGTAAAATCGTTTTCTCCATATGTATTGTAAGCTATATTAGTCGCAAGGACATCATCAATAGACCTATAATAATCACAGAAATTCATATCCAAATGAGATGCGATATTACCAGTAAACCAATATGCAATGCATTGCTTTCGTAGCTCTACTCTATGTAATGTACTCGATGTAGAGAATCAGTTTCTCTACTCATGGATCTTATCACACGTACAGTTTGCTCTCTCTAATTCACCCATTAAGTTATACATGAGAGTTAGTAATGCAACTACTGGAGAATGTTGCCGAATCATATAATCTAATGAAATTGAATCCATTGAATCTCATTTTAATTTCTGTCATATTCTTTGCGAATCAATAAGAAAATATATGTATAGTGAAAATAAAGGCCAAATTATTAGCAAACAATTTTCGAATAACATTTTATTAACTGCATATCTAAAATTTCAAAGAAAATGTGATTTTTCATATTGCCATTTGTATTACGTTCGAATGTATTTTGTTTTTAACCATCTAGTTACGCTGTACTGTCACAGATAAATCTAAAGCTTCTTCAATTGCTTTCGATTGCTATTAAAGATGTAGTTTATTGCATCTCTGATAATATTTCGCTACGTAATAGTTACATTGTGATCCTTCCGACGACGAAGTGCAACTATTAAGTTAATAATAGATATTCTACATATTTCGGGCATCTCTCTCGAGTGATACATTTGCCTATCGAAAGTCTTGATCTTATTTTATCCCATTCTAGAGTGGGATAAAATAAGATTAGGACCTTCTTAATCTTGTTTACCTTTAAATTTAGATCGGGTTTATGGTAGAGAGAGAGAGAGAGAGAGAGAGAGAGAGAAGTTACACAATTGGAAACTTATGTAACTTCAAAATTAAATGGCGAGTAACAAGCAATTTATTTAACACTGCATTTGATAAGAATTTCATCAAGGAAAAAACGCTGCTGAAATCAAGGAAAAAAAGCATGTGAATTAATTTGTTCTGTTCTTAGAGACGATATGTTGTATTGTATCTAAAAGTACGTGTGAGTTTTGGTTACGGAGAATAACGTGTTCCGTAGTAAGTTAGTTTTCAAATTAAGAAGTAAATAGCTATGATTTATCAATCTTAATTAACGATAATTAAACTCTACATCTGTAATAATTATCTCTATAACATATTTCAGCTTTTATTAATATCTATTGTGGCTTTTGTTTCAGTCTTTGATTTTAAAATTATCAGTATTCTTCTATCAAGAGAAACGATCGTAATTCATTGAAAGTACAAAAGATTTAGATAGCAATTTGTCAATCCGCGTATCAGAGGATTAATTGTATCATTGTTTGATTGATAACCCTGCACTTAGCCCATGACATATCTCCTGTGTAAATTGTGTAAAACGTTTCGTAATCGATTAACGGTTAACAATATATCCATGAAAGATTACTCCTACGAAGTGGCAATGCACAATGTCCATTTAACATTTGAAACTATTGAAAATTGCAACGATCTTTAAAGTGTACTCTCTCTCTCTCTCTCTCTCTCTCTCTCTCTCTTACAGAATTATATTATAAATTTTAAAAGAGCACGAGTAATACATTTCTCTTTTACAAACAACTTTGTACGCATACCACTTTACTTCATAAGCGCGAAATATAATCTACTGATAAATAGGATTTAGAGAATATGAAAACTAATTATATACAGAGACAATTTGCCACAAAAATTGATTCAAATTTTTATTAGTTTCTAGAAACTTTTAAAGAAAATAGGACAAAGCAAAGGGAATTCAAGAGTTCACGTTTTACATGTATCATCTATAATAGATTACATTTATTTGCAAGTTTGTAAAATAGCAATTATAAAATGACTTTTTAATATAAGTAATTAACAATAACACAGTTTTATAATTAATAAAATTTTTTAAAGTATACGTAATATATAAGTAAGCATTAAAATTGCGTAAATTTTCTAACATTATTTAGAATTTTGTGAAACTTATTGTAGCAGTAAAAAGTGTATTTACTCAATTATATTTTAGCGAAACCTTCACATTTTATATTTTAGATTTTTAATCAAAAGAAATCTAATCAATTTTAATGTATGGAAATAATGTAATCAAGATTAATGATTTTAACATCCGCGAGTAATTATTTTAATCAAATAATTACATTTAAAATTGATTTAAAAATTGCAATTAAATGGGACTATACAGTATCTTATTGTATTTGTTCGGAACGTTTCGAATTTAACTTTCTTCAGCCGAGAAAGAATAAAAAGTATGATGTAGTGAATGCTGTCACAGAACGCTTTTTTAACATGTTGTATGGCGGAATTTCTTGTGTCTTGTATATTTGAGATTGTGTAATGTCAATTGATTCTAACATTAATTCCACGATCGTTGGCGAGAAACCATCGGAGTTATAAAGTCTTATTTTTGTTAGTACTACATTTTTCACACACATCTAATTCGTTAGATATTTTTCAAGAAAACTTATATTTCTAATAAAAATCAATCTTTTACTTTCTAAATAAAAATTATTTTCGCTGTTGATAAACAGTACACTTTTATTGCAAAAAATATAAAACACTGAAGAAAAAAAATTAAAAAGTAGAATGTAAATGTACCACTATACAATATAAATATATATTGTATATATATAACTTCTACGTAAAATGTTATCCGTTAATTTTTAGATATTTACATTCACATGATTTGTATTTATACAACACATGAAATATTTGTCAGAATATCTGATGTTTCATGTTAAAATGTTACGTTAAGTATAAACTGGAACATCATGGATTCACGGCAGACCTAGTTAATTATAATATTATAAAGGATTATAATCTCATGCAGTCAATTTAATAAACCTCCAATTATATGGAATATTTATTCGCAGAGTTTATCCACGTTATTATTGTTATTGTATATTTTTAACAGAGTATTTCAAACATCGTATAATTGATTATGCTCATATGTATATTGAAAATAAAGTGTCACAGAGACTCAAACCAATAATAAATAAATTAACTTCAAACCTTTTATACGTAAAAATCTCATTAATGATTCTTTTTATCTTACAGCCGGCGAATGTAACTATTATTGGCGTTGAAAACTCTGTAATTGTGGAATAAAAGAAGAAAAATCAAAATGCAAAGAGGATTATATTCTCATTAACAACAAAAAAAACAAGACGGAACGGTCATGTCGTGGTCATACGCGACAAGTGCCTTGCCATCCTCCTCGATTACAATGTTAATGATGACAACACGATTAACGCCATTGGCACTAACGGCAAGTTACACGGAAGCTAGTGACTTTGTTGGCAACACCACAAAAGATATCAATGACGAGGAAGTGGAATATACGCCATACAGCGACCGACCAGAAACGTACATCGTACCAATCGTCTTTCTTTTGATCTTGCTAATCGGCCTCACTGGAAATGGCGTGCTTGCTCTTACGATCCTGCGACATACAAACATGAGAAACGTACCTAATACGTACGTCCTTTCGCTGGCACTTGGGGATTTATTGGCACGTAACATTTATATACAATATGTAAATATGTATATAAATTTATGTACACATTCCTTTTTACAGGAAATTATGTGATGCGTACAAAACTACTCGTACGTATATATATGTTGCAAACCACTAATAATTTAAGCGAAGTTATATGTTCCAATATACATTTTGGAGAATATTTCAGTTATAAATATTCTTCAATGACCTTTTTTTTTATAAATATCTTATTTTATACATTTTTTAGAATACTGATTACTATGATTTTATTTTTTGTATCAATATTAAGATTAGATTTTATATATATGTATATATCAAGCGCCAACTTTGCAAATAATTTTTTAAACAAATAACTTAGTGACAGATAAGGCTCGGAGATGTTTTCTTTGACATAATTGCATACAAATTTTTTTATCACTCGTGATAATTATAGTACTATGGTAATTTAGTAGAGCTTGCGTTTCAAGTCTGAAAAAAATTCGGACCTTAATTAAAAATCTACATTCGTAGTATATAAATTCACACGCAATTATATGGAAGCACCCAAGATCCAGCTTGACCATTACGGCCTGTTCTTATCGGTTTTTCATTTTTAAATATTTTTACAATTTTTATTTCCCTCCACTCTCTCTTTTTTGTCATTTTAATTATAAATTGTATCTATATATTATAAACTAATCAATATTTAATCTTAATGCACAATTTTAATCTCATGAAAAGAAAAATGTAAATGTCATAAAAACGATTAATAATAATAATCAGAAATTACATACAAAGTATGTATAAAGTTATTATGGTTTAAAATGCTAAAATTTGAGATTTCATTGCTTAACACATATAATAATAATTAATTTTGATAGATACAACAATATTATGATGATTTCTGAGATGTGCAAACTTTTATGGGCTTTTTAACATAATAAAATATATTAACTTCTTTTAAAAATATAATTCTTATCACAGAATACTATATCATATTAAATAAAAGTGATATCAATTATACGATTAACCTTTGTATTACCAAATTAAGTAAAATATTATAAAGTTTTAACATATAATATCACCCCCAATTTTTGACGAATAGTAAATGACTACTTCATCTTTCTATATATTTCAAAAGTTTTTTTTTTAATTCCAATACAATTTCTCTTTGAAAAGTATACAAATTTTGCCAAACAAATTTTATTATTATAAAGAAAATTAAAATAAAAACATTAATTTAAAAAACCATAATTTTATATACTCGTTTAATCTATAAAATACTAATTTTAACACAAAATACAAATATGTAGCTATATACAAACAAAATGTTTAATTGTTTTTACAGTTAAAAAATTTATTATCAATAATTTTATATTACACATATATATATATATATATATACAGCAAACATACACAACATATACATACACACATACATATATAGGATGTAAGAATATTTTGTCTGCAATTGAGACCTGTTAGTTTAGTTATCAGATTTAGTACACTAGTTACATCGGATAGGAGAGCAAAATCGATCGATTTTAGTATGACGTCGGTATACCTACTACATGTACGTACAGTGGCATGAGTTCGTCGATTCTCGCATCGTCGCTTCACGGTAAATCCTATGTAATGCGGATGGCTCGACTCACGCCTCTCAGCCATGCATACCAAACAATAGTATTAACGCGATCTAAAGGTGGTTCTTAGTCTGTAATATGAACTAGCTCTTATATTCCTGGAATTTCCGGTATCAGCTTCTTTGTTCGATAATCGCAGATTCGATTATCCCAGAGATTAAAATGCTCTGTTTTTATACGAAACAAGTAACTTACATTCCATTAATGTTACACATGATATGCATTGCGATAAGCTTATATAAAAGTACAGATAGTTGCTGCTTTTTAATAAAAATGTCTGGTATTGACGGATGCGGTCTGTGACAATACAAACTGCTCAAATATCAGATTTGAGGTTTTAACAGATATTGACAATAAAAATTGAAATAAAAACTACTAATCTCGAGCATTTAGTTTTAACCATCATCAAATCTCGAATTACTTTACACCACTGTATATTAATGCTATTTTCTTCTTGCTTTAATCGATTATTATTGCATAATTATCCAATTTGTCTTATAGGTAATAGTAACATGTGTCCCATTCACCTTTACCGTCTACATTTTGGATTCTTGGCCTTTCGGATTATTGCTCTGCAAATTCTCTGAGTGCGCGAAGGATATATCTGTCGGGGTGTCCGTTTTTACTCTAACTGCGCTGTCAGCAGACAGATTTTTCGCTATCGTGGATCCTATGCGAAAATTGCACGTCACAGGTATAAAACCATAGCTGCGTGATTTGGCATTTGTAGAAATCATGTGCGATATCATGAAGACAAATAACGTCATTATCATTGATCTAAGTAATTAACATTTTTCTCAATAAATTATAATAAAAAATTGCGTATATTTTGTTATAGAGATAAATAGAACTTGTATTCTTAAGTAATAAAAATAAAAAATTAAGTCGATAATTAAATTAAATTATCTGATTATTTATTCAAGGTAGTGGAAGACGAGCAACACGTTTCACTGCAATTATTGCGGTCTTGATTTGGGTTTTAGCTATAATATGTGCAATTCCGGCTTCCTTTTCGTACATTAGAGTCTTCAAGGTTAATCGGAACGTAACCTTTTGCGTAAGTCAGATTATCATACTTATAACTATCTCGTTTCAGACCTAGTCCGTAAAGTGCATCATTAACAACCATATGTAGAAGCTAAAAAATGTATGACGTCCTTTTCTACTTTATAAACCAGTGTAGCAATGATCTAATGATTTTAATATACGTATGTATCATATAATTCAAGGCATGTTATCCGTTTCCCGAGGAGTTTGGGCCAAATTATCCAAAGGTGGTACTAATATGTCGCTTCTTCATCTATTATATTATACCTCTCAGTATCATCGCCGTTTTCTATATATTGATGGCTAGACATCTTATGCGAAGTACAAGAAATATACTTGGCGAAATGCAAGGCCAGGTAATTTGCATACGTGTGTTTAATTACAATTTATTCATAACATACAGTGACATTAAGGCGTTTCATCAAAATTTAAATTCAGAGTTCTCTTTCTGCACATCTATATCTACTTTTATCGCTATTCTTAAAGTCCGTCTTATCACTCAAATCCATTTTAGTGCAAAATTTACGAGATTATTATAGAAATAGTTTATACAATAAACATTAAGTATTCATTTGTGCGCATATTAATACATGCCGTATTTTAGATAAAGCAAATACAGGCCCGTAAAAAGGTGGCAAAGATGGTAATGGCTTTCGTAATTGTTTTTGCTGTTTGTTTTTTCCCGCAACATGTTTTTATGCTGTGGTTTTACATTCATCCAACTGCACAAAAAGATTATAATGCCTTTTGGCACTACTTTCGTATCTTGGGTTTCTGCCTTGCTTTCACCAACAGCTGCATCAACCCTATCGCTCTCTACTGCGTAAGTGGTACTTTCAGAAAATACTTTGACAGGTAAGCTTAAAGTTTATAGAATCCATCACAGAAGCGACAAAGCGATGAATGTCATGAAACATTACAATTTTAAAAAATTAAATGAAATTTTTTTGCAAAAATAACTTAAAGTTTATAAATATCATTTTCTGACTTGAGAAAATCTTTATATTAAAAAATGTATTATAACACATTACTACTTATTTAATTAAACCAAAATATCTCTCTCTTTTAAACTCCCAAAATTTCCTTCCTCGGAGGAACAGAACTAACAATATTACGGGATTAAATCGATACTCATTTGGTTGATTACATCTAAACAACTTTGTAATTTGCGTTAGATACTTGATATGTTGCGCCACGAATAAAATACGGAGACGACATCGACGATCATCGGATCTAAGCTCACGTGGACGAGGACCAAGTTTTTCACTTGTCAGTTCAAGAAAGAACTTGGGCGATTCTCGTCGAGAACAACGATCTGTGATGCGCCTCTCTATTATGGCCGGTAATATACGACCTGCGACTCCGATTAAAGAGCAAGAAACTACTATCACTCTGTCGGCGTATCCAAATGGTGTTAACGAGTCATTAAGGAATCAACGAATCTCGATAGAACCAACCGTACGCGATCGATTAGTTCCTTTATAAAAAAAAAAAACAGACATCAACGTCATATTTCTTATAATCATAAAATAAGTTTTGTGTCACTTAATATTGATCAAGTAAAATTATATTTTTGTAATATTTTCTTACAATTCAAGTTTCCGATTGTTGAATTGTGATATATTATTAACAATGGCTTCTAAAAAGTAGTAAAATTGTTCGTATACCAATTACGAGTAATAAGTATTTGGGTTATTTAGTGATATCACATATTAAAGTGACGTTTATTGTTCCTTGGTGCAATTTAGGATAATATTACGCAAATAAATTTCTGTCAATGCATTATATGTTTAGTCATGTACAAAGAATCATATTTAAATATAAAACATTAATAGAGTAGTGGATTAGCGATAAATAAAGTAAAATAAGCTGACTCCGTATGCTTTTATGAAGAATTATATATTGTTTGATCAATAAATACTACATTCCGCCGAATAAATTACAGTATTAGAAGCTGCAGCTTCAAAGTGAAATATACATGAGAATTTAAGAGAAATTACTAAAAATGTACTGTTATTTGTTTAGAAAAATATATACATAAAAAAAGCAGTAGAAGATAGATAGCATAATAAAGAAATAAAAAAATTGATCTCGATTGTATATGAGAGAAATAAGAAATTTTAAATCAATAAACAAGTTATATTTTTATGGAATATATCTATGTAATTAATGTTTATGTTAGTTTTTACTTGTAATATGTACAAAAACAAAAGATTTAAGAATCTATACTGGCTGTTAATACAAACATTAAAATATGTGCAAATCAAATAAAGAATATTGTAAACTGAAAATAATATTTGTATAAATATTAGGTATAACATGTTTAATTATAAGAAAATTCTTCTTGTAGCATGATAGACAAAGATATTACTAATTATCATTTCCACGATAATTATAAAATCTTAATTATGTTATTGTTTCTATGCTATTGTTTTACATATTATACGTTCGTAATCATTTCATTCGTTATTAGAAAAAATTTAAGAGAAAAACTGTTTCTTCAGTTTATTCAAGAGATGTTTGAATTTTATTAAATAAATGTTCCGTGAAATGAAATATCTATATTTGATATGGCACTGATAAAACAAAAATTAATAGCGCGTACAAAAAATATACTACAATTAATAATATTCGTTTCGATCAGATTGTGACATATTCTCAGTATTAAATTTTTATTCCAACGTTCAATAAGGTACAAACAATAAAGTTATCGTCGATTTCTAACAGTTATTCTTTAAAATATTTATTCATAATATTTTTTTATCTTTTACCGCCTTATTAATTGGAACGCAAAAGAAATCGTGAATATATATAGGAACATCAAATTTACAAGCAATGTCAGATTTTTTTCAGCTTTAAATGCATAACGAATTTTTGTAATAAATTTTTCTACAAAGCAAATAAGTTGCTAAAAATTAATTTTTCTACGCCTATAAGATTATAATTAGCAATGTCTTTATATAGAAAATTCTTGTTTACAGATATAATTAAATTGTGCAACCTGTAAATATTCGTCGTAGAATTGCTTTCTGTTCAAAACCGAAATTTGCATATTTCTAAAAAAAGTTTATTACACGATCTAACGGCTTTGTAACAGAACAGCTGCAAGTACATTACATTTCTATGCAAATACCTATTTCCATACCCTTGTAGCCCTAACTAGCATCAAATCACTTTTCTCAAAGAAGAAAAAAATACTTCTCTTTTAAATCTCTGATATTAGTACTCGACTCCCACATAATTAAATTATATTACATAATATCTTATATATTGCACAATATATATATATGTATATATTACTTCGATATTTTATTTCTTAAGTAAAATATCAATAGTTTGTAGTAAAGGAACAATCAATATTCTTTCAGTAAGACAAAACTAACTAATGTGCAATATAAATGATAAAGCTATATCCTTTTTATGATATCGGTAGCAATTGTAAATAATTGGTAGCGAAACAAAGAAAAGAACAGAATTTGTTGCTACATATTATCGTTTATTGGATGTTCAATATTTGATATTTTTCATCATCGGTAATTTGATAGATATTGTAGATATAAATATGAAGAAAGCTAAATTATTAACTGTTAGTGCATCACTGTTAACAAATATCTACACATAATATACACTTGTGGATTAAAATGATTGAAATACGTTTGTTTAATTACATCTATTTTTCTAAAAAATTCCTTCTTGAACAGTACATGGTAAGTTTTTATCATACTGTAGGTAAAACATTTTTTATAAATATTTATTTACTAAAACTCTTATATGAAACTTTTTCTTGGCAATTTCTGTCAGTAATCTTTTATAACAATTTTAATTACGATTCTGATTATTTTAATTATTTACTTTGTTTCTATATAAATAACGTAATAATAAAGAAAAGAAAAAAAATTATACAAAATATAATTCTTTTTTCTGAAATACTGAAGTAAATTAAAATTCTATTAACAAAAAATTATCTAACCTAATTTTTTGGGGTGAAATCCATCTATTAAAATAAATAATATTTATTGATCTTGTGAACTACATAATCGACAAATACAAAGAGTTTGCAATAGATGGCAACACTTGTACTGCAATGATTTTCACACAAACTTGTAGTCCTTTATGTTAAATTAAAAAAAAAAATTAAATTAAAGATCCAATCACAATAATTTAAAACAATAACCAACATAATAAAGGATCTAAAATTTTATATTTTTATTTATAATTTAATGTAAACAAACAAAAAAGTTTTCATGAAAACGGAATTATTATTGTTTTTGTATACAATTTTAGCGAAGATAATACTTCAAAGGCAGAACGAAGCAATTACGTTTTGTCTTTTTTGCGATTTTCTTCAAAACAAAGTAAAATCAAACATATCTCTACAGGATTTTTTTTCTTATTATTAGTTTATCGATCCCCTACATGCTCTCAAAGTTTTGACATTTAAATTCCGGACATCCTGTGTAGTTAAATAATTCTTACATATAAAAATATTCACTTCGGCTTTAGCAAACTAGGACGCGTGATATTAAATTCTCGTACTATCGCAAGAACTCTGACGCGCCATCCTCCTGAAAAAGAAACTCCCTATGAGCATTCGGATCAAATAATAGCGTGACATGTTCCATTTGCATTTCGCATTTTTCATTCGTTACGGCGTAGCAGCAATTTCATGACCAGAGGCATGCCATTAATTTCAATAACATTCATAAGTTTTTTATCAAGGCCTTTTTGCATGAGAGAACTGCGTTACACAATTTAACATAAAAAGTTATCAGATCACCATTATACAGTTTTAATAAAACTTCCAAACTTCAAGAAAATGGAAAAATATGCTCCATACAAAAGCACACGGTTGAGCCTGGAAAAAGCTGACTCCAAAGCTTTTTCTTGCAACTTTATCGAATCGGTGGCGTGAATGGTTAAGAGGGTAGGAACTTGTTAACCGACTGATTCAGATGGACAAAAGCTACCTATTCCAAGGGTAGCTCTTTATGGGATCAAGACAACCACAATGTTCAGTTCTCGCATTGTCAAATATTCTTTCATCAGTTCCCGTCATTGCTTTCTGGACTTCGTCCACCGCAGATGAAGAACCATTTCACTCAACATATATCACAAAAAATCCTAATTAAATACAAACAGAAATTGAATTAATCAAATAGCATATCATGCAGTATGTATATGTTTTTTTTAAATATAGATAGCATTTTTCAAATAAGTATTATAATAAAAAAAAATACATACTTTTATAATAACATAAAATAAAGGTAGAATAACTGTGTATGTGTGTATAATAATAAAATTACTTAAACTCTTTTAATGCTACAATAAGTGCAAAACGCAATAAGTAGCGAAATGATACAAATCAATCCCTAAAAGCGATAGCGAAGAAATTTCCTTAAGCTTTTCCGAAGTAAATATTTTTCGTCAGAGATTACTACACATTTAGAGCAAATTATTTGCATCCTACTTCCGTGTAATATTTAATGGATTATGCGACAATGTCACGCAAACGCGCGGCCTAGAGTATGATAGCATTAGAGAGTAAGTCACGAAAGTGAAACACGCCATGCTATTATCGTCATTCGAGCAGAAGGAAATCATTAAAAGACAATGTTAAGTGTTTTTATCAACGATACTTACACGATACTATCACTATGTGCATTTTAAAAAGCATTTATCAAAATTTCCACCACATTTTATTATATGAATAAGACTTTAAATAATTTGCTTTAAATATTTACAAAGAAAATACTACTTTCGACAAATTCGACAAAGAGTAATATTTTATTAATTATTTACCCTTTTCGTTGAGTGCTCTATACATTTCAACTCTTGCCAATAATTGTTCCTTCAACACATAAGCGAGTTACGTGAATGCCGCCCACAGCGAATAATGCTTAATGAATGGATGTAAATTACATGCACAAACAGCATTATGTTGTTCGTAATTCGAATTATTCGGATGAATAGATTGGAACTTTTCATCACCGCCGCCGTGATTGCTGACGGTAGCTCGAAATATTGGAACATTTTCAGAAGAATTTCTTCGCTATAGCGACGACAATTGCACCACTACCACTATCGGATCCCTAAGGATCACCCTGGTTCGAAAGATTACGGTCGACGTACTACAGTATTTCGATGGAATCGTTCTCACCGCGGTGAAAAACGAGAACCCCGATAAGATTGCATCCGAGCAAAGGAGGGGATGCCATGATATATGTGCCTTGCTCACTTGAAGTCACTTGATTAATTATTTTGAGAGAAATCTTGATGAAATTATCGTTCCCAACATATATGTATATATCTTTTGATTCATCATGCATGATTATTTTGAAACAGACAGATGTCAGAAATTCGCATTCACCATCGCATTCTATATTGCAAAAGAAGTCTCTTTAACTGACGACAAAAGTCGAAAATTCTCTCGGGATCGCAACATGGCAAGCAACATCATTTAATAAAATAGAATGTAATATCCGATAA